AAATCAATTGATAATGAATAAAATATCCTTTTATGCCATATGTTCCGCCATTATATGTTCCACGTTAAAATTTAAAAACATGACAAGTCAATTATTATGGTGGGTCAAACCTCTAAAATTGTTTATGGCTATTATACGATTTAGAACAAGTAATGATATTTAGGTGAATTTTTATTTAACTTTTATTTTTCTTAAATAAATACATACATAAAATATTATAAATTTAAATAAAATGAAAATAATTAATCAATAAATGACCCATAAGCTTACATGAAAAAATTGTACAAAAAATTCTCTCAATCATTTCACTTTTGAAATCCCATAAGCATCGAGGTACCACTGTTTTAGACACTATCAGGTACATTTGGTCTGTACTTTTGTTTTGGTGCATAACGCAGTTTCTTCGTTAGATTCTTGATGTGTAGAAACGTGTCAAGCTTTATACGGCCAGATTTTGCTGATTAAATAAAAAATTGCAGAAAAAGAGGTGGATATGAAAATGGTACCTCAGGAAGTTAATAAAAACTGTAATTTATTTTCCTCTTATTAATCTTCTGAGGGGGATTTCTTCCATCTTCAATAAAATTTTCAAACTTTTTTTTTTTTTCAAAGTTCCAATCTTTCTGTATTTGGGTAAAGATTGGAATATGGAGAATCCTCTCCATTTTGTGAAACTATCTTTCATCTTCCACCTCGTCTTCCCATCTTTTGTCCTTTTCAGCCAAGCCCACAGTTTAATGCATTTTTGTGAAACTAGCATTCTCTTCCACCTTCGTCTTCTCATCTTTTGTCTTTTTCAGCCAGACCCACAGTTTAATGCAAGTGCTGTCCACAACCACAAGTGGGTGTTTTACTGATTTCTGCTTTCTTGTTCTTTTTTTTTTCTTTGTGTTTCTGTTCATTTATATGTTTGATATCTAGGGTTTGCATCTGGGAATTCTGGTTTAAGGCTGGGTTTATTAGCATCAATGCTTCTTTGGAAATTCCATTTTTTGGGCTTATTCTGTTCATAATTTCTCATGTTGTCTTTCATTGAAATTCATCTTTAGGATTGGTTGTGCTAGTAGAGTTTCATTGATTGCTCCATTTTCATTTTTATTTATTTTTTGGGTTGTTTCCATCAAATTAGTGCTAGCTGGTTTCTTGATCCAGAGATAAAACCCAACATTTTTTCCTTCATTTTGAGAAACTTAGGGTTTTTTCATTTTTTTCCTTTCTGTAGAACCATATAAGGGAACAAAATGGCTTGGCTGAGCTAAATTTGTTTATGTATGTTAATTTTCTCCGCTGAAATCTTCTTATTATGTATTTCTATATGCGAGTTATTTATGGTGTCTGGGAAATTTTTAGTTGCATTATCAGCTGTTTCATAAGATTTTGCATTCTTAGATGCATTCCTTGTATGCAGTTCTTTGAATTCTATATGGGTTTAGCACCATATTAATGTGCTTGATTGCAGGTACAAACTCCCCCTTCTCCACATTCTGGCTCTGTATGTAGAGAAGCTGAAGTTCCCAGTTCAGGTTCTGGTGAGATTTTTTTTCTCTTTTTGATGCTTTCCACGTTCATGACTATAAAAGTTTCTCCTAGATGGTCGTTATGCTTTTTGGGAGTGGTTTGTCATATAGGTCAAAGTTTTGTCTTTATTGCATGTGATATGGCTTCTGTGCGAACATTTTTGGATGGATGTATGCCATGTTTTCATCTACTGATGAAATCATGTGCTCAGTTGATGCTTGGAGTTGTCTTACAGTTCCTATCATGTGCTCAGTTCCTATACTCGAAATTGAAGAATTCCTCTTATAACTGTGTGTATATTAGTACTGCAGTGATAAGGACCTCATATTAGATGTGTGTTATGCTGAATTTCTTTGTCAATAAATAAATATAAAACTGAAAATTTGAAGATCTATGATTGATGTTTCTGTTTTAATTTCAAAAGTGTCTTATGTTATCATATTATGTTTAGCTTCTTTAATGTATTCTTACAAGTGTGTTCCAACTTTCTTTGTAGTTGTGCATGCTTAGAGATTTGGGACATTATCAGTTTGACAATGAGAGAGAGCACGCTCGTCAACATTCATGGAAAGTCATAGATGTGTACAAGCGTGCTGTCTCTCGTTGTCATATGATATGCACAAGACTTTATTTGTTTCGGTTGGCTGTTTGCTGCAGATGCTAGCAGGTAAATTGTGGTTTATTATTTAGCTTGAACTTATTGTTTGGCAGCAATTCTATTTTCAATGAAAAATTAGTGATCAGTAACTGCAGTTCTTTTGCTACTGGGTATTGTCTCATTTGAATTGATTAATTTCTACTTAATACTGGATTTGGTGATTTATTATTTAGCTTGGAAGTGCTATATAATATTTGTCATAAAGTATAGACTTCTTCTCTAGTTGAACCTAATCTTAAATGGATTTCATGATGCGAACTCATTGCTGCTATATTTAGATACTGCTTGTTACTTACTTCCTCCATTCCATTTTAGTTGTCTCAGTTTTAACTTTACACATACCTAGACAATCTAAGGATTGGTTAAAGCTCCATAATAATGTGTTAAAATAACACATTTATCATCCCTAATAGAAACTTTATCATCTTTATAAATAGACTAGAATAATAAGGATAAAGTTGGAATAATAATGTTTAGGACAATGATTGATGCACACCCGGATCCAACACCCGGGTGTGCACCCCCACATAAAAAAAAAGATGAACCAGGTGATGGGCATTTTTTTTTTTTTATATGATGTGTGCATACCCGGGTGTTGGATCCAGGTGTGCACACATCATTTTCCTAATGTTTAATGTCTCATAGAAATAGTAAGTGTGACAGCTAAATTAGAATACCCAAATTTAATAAGTGTGGCAACTAAATTAGAAAAAAGGGGAGTAAATGAGAATATAGTCTTTTAACTCTATGACTACTATTCAAGACAAATGATGCTTTAGGGACCAAAATAGGACTCCTTCCCTACTGATTAGCATCATGACATTCAGACATTGTTTTAATTACCTAATTCCTTAATTTTATTTCGTCTTTGATTGACATGTACAAGATACACAATTCCTAACTAGATCAAGAATCTACTATATATCCCTTGTTATCTTGAGAAAACGGCAAGAATTAGTTTTTACACTTCTTGTTAGATTTTCAATTTGTATGATTACTTCATGATTATACCTTCATTTGTCTCTGGCATCTCAGAGTGATGTTGGACAGTCTTGAGGAAAAAGGGGGAATTAGGGATTAGGGATGAATTCAGGGTTTTCTTTTGAAGGGGTTTGATTGATAGAATAGAAGCTGTAGTAGGGCTTAAGGTTGCTGTGAACAATAATTCAAGTTACTGTTGCAACAAATAGAAAACCGAAGGAGAAAGGGAAAAGATCAAGAATGAAATAGAAATAACTGTCCTCCAAATAACTACATAATAATTTCACAAAACTCAAAACCTGCCAAATTGCTACGTTAAAAGAGATAGTTATAAGCAGCAATTACCAAGGCTCCGTTATAGTAGTGGTTTTTGGTTTTTGTTTTATAAATTTTACAACTCTAAACAATAAACTCATATACTTTCATGTGTTTTCATAATATTTTATCATCATTATATTAGAGAAATAGGAACATAGTTTTAAAACAAGAGTAGGGATCCACTGACACATAGGTCTATATATTACATTTACAAAAAAATCTTGATAATTTATCTCCGCAATTTTAATAATTGAGATTTATTTATATTTATTAAAAATAATTATCTTTTTTATCTAAAAAGTCATGATAAATCTCTACTATTGAAAGTGAAAAGATGAATTGTCAAGATTTTGTGTAAATATAATGTGTAAGATTTACATGTAAGTTGATCCCTTCTTATTAAACAAATTTATATTTTCTGTTGTTAGTGTTAATTAAAAAGTGTCATAAACAAATTCTTAATTTTTTATTTTCAATTTTGGTTTTCATTAGTTGCAAAATTTATGAAAACCAAAACCAAAATTCAAAAACCACAACTACACTAAATAGAGTCTAATTAAATTAGAGTTCAAAGAATTTGATAATAAAATCAATATCTTATTTAATAAAGATTCAATCAGTCTACTAAAAGACTTAGGAAACCTATTTGATTCTAACGGGCTATTTGCTGTGGTAGTTTGAGTTTAGTAGTTAGCATTTTCCTTCAAACCACTACATAATTGTATTTGGTACAATTTTTTTTCCACCAATTACTACGCGTTTAGTGTTTGGTAAAATTTTTTCTCTAGAATTTAGAGCCCAATCTGTTCGCATATTGAAAAAGCACTATACAGTAATTTTGTCTCAAACTGCTATTAGATTGGAATTTATAAATTATTTTGACAAATTTACCCATAAAATGATTTGCTATAAAATGCAAGCTTAAGGTGCGACTCCTCCTTCCATCCTATTTGTACAATAACTATTTTTTATTTCAATTTTAAGATTCACTTGCTCATTTTTCTTTCTTTTTGTTATCTAATGGGTTGTAACTAATTTTCTCATTTAACAAAAATTTGCTGAGTAATCATAATTAAAAATTAATTAATAGAAAGGTTTATAATTTTTGCCTTATATTTAAAAATAAGAAGTTAATTTCTCTACTTAAAAATTTACAAGTGAATATTTTATTTGTAATTGCATAATAATAACAATAACAATAAAAATAAAAATAAGAAAAAATAATAAACTCTTTTAGTGTCAAGAAAAAAAAACAATTAAATACTTTTGGAATTTGTCCTTATTTGTTATTTAATGTTAAATAATAACAGTTAACTATTATATAACTAAACAGTTACTAAAATCAATATCTATTACCCGCTATCTGCTACCCATCAATTGCTAACGGTCAGATTTCAAATTCTATATCAAATAACTCTTAAGAAAGACCAAATCATTATTGAGATATGAAACTAATTATAGCCTAGACGTAAATATTTTCTTTGAAATTGATAACTAATAACTAAATATATGCATGATTGCATAACAAGCTTAAATTAATCTTCCATGAGTTTTTCCTTGATTGCATCACACTGTCTCATTCTCTTTCACTTTAAATACATCTGTCCTTTATATTTCTTTTAATACACTTTATCTATTTTATGTTGGCCAGCATAATTTATCTAATTATTTCTTCCAAATCCTGGTAGATTGTTAGAGAATTCACTATTTTATTTTGAAGCCTATCAACTTCGATTGGCATGAAATAAATTTGTCAAATAACATGCCCTAAAACTCACCCATCTCTTCCCAAGGTTTTTAATCAAAGACCTTTACATGGGGACTATACCAATGTTACTTTTTTTGACTAGATAAAGTCACTATTTTCCTATTTTGTTAATTGTTTGGTCATTTCTGTCAAAACTAAAATGTTAGTCCTCTATAAACAAATAATTTAGGTGACAAGAGTGATCTTCTTATTCAATTAAATGAAATGATCAAAATGTAATCAAAAGGAAAAAAAAAAAAATCAAACCAAAGCATGTTGCAAAGGTTCTTAATTATTGGTTTTTGTATTGTATTTATATATCAATTTGGTAAATAACTTACAATATATAATTAGAAGACTGAAATAGAGGATGAGGACACAAAGCTGCTCCTTTCTCTTTCAAGTTAAAAATATTTGCAGTGTTACAAAAAACGTGCCAAGGCAAGGTGCTAGGTGGTGCTTCGTTGCCTCAGCCAGCCCATAAGCAGCAGAGCAAGAAGTTTCTTTTATTTTTTATATTTTCTGATTTATTTTGGGTTTTTTTTTTTTAAAAGGAAAGAAAATGAAGAACACCTAGAGTGCCCAACAGCTTGCATTGCCTAACACTTTACACTGTTTGGAGAAAATTTAGAAAAGAAAAGCATATTTCTGGTTAAATTACAGAAGATAACTGCCTTAATTAACTTAAAACAATTAAAATCTATAATAGGAGGAAATAAAAATAAAATATGTAAAACAATCAATGATAAAGTTATCAGGGTGGGGGTATAGTGTGTGAGTGTTTGCCTGACCTCTACCTTGTATGTGTTTGAACCATCAAGTAAGGGAGTGTGAGGCTCTGCAATTGGGGAGGGCTTCCCACCTTGTGTAGGACATGGTATGATAGCCATAAATCAAGCTGGAAGTGGGGTCTCTTACAATAGGGGGTAGCACTTCCCTTCTTAAACATTTCCCCACCCATCCTAAGATTTGAATTTGAGATCTCCAATATAGAAACTCAAGTTCTTAACCATAAAGATGTCCCTTAGAGAACGAGTTAATTGATACTACATCTTAAGTAGTACGTAGTTACGTTTTTCTGGTGTGTAGTTTTTCACCTTGAAGAAGAAATTGAATTAGGAGAAGCAAGCATTAGGATGTTAGCAGTACATCTAAGTTTGCAGTTATTCAGTCAAAATATGTTTTTAAGGGTATTACCTCTCTCTTTTATATAATTGAATTCTAAAGTTTTCCAATAAACTTTTTCTTTTCTATTTTTTAGGATAAATATCCAATTTAGTCCCCAACCTCTACCAAAAATGCTAGTTATTGTTTCAATCTTTCATTTGGATCAAAAATGGTCCTTAACCTTTTTTGAAATTTGACATATGGGTTTCAATGCAAGACTTTTATTTAATTTAAAATCAATTTGGCAATAAATAGATGAAGTAGCACTCTTTGTATCTAAGTTATATGTTTCTTTATTATATGCTCGGTGTTAAATTTTAAAAATGTGAGAGAGTCAATTATTTTGGTTGATCAAACCTCTAAAATTTTAGTATTGTTATTCATGGCTATCATGCATTTCAGAATAGCTAATGATATACGGATAAGTTTTTTTTTTTTTTTTATAACTTTTATGGTTGATCAAACCTCTAAAATTTTAGTATTGTTATTCATGGCTATCATGCATTTCAGAATAGCTAATGATATACAGATAAGTTTTTTTTTTTTTTTTATAACTTTTATATATCATTAAATAAATAGATATATAAAATGTTATGAATTATAGTAAAGTAAAAGGAATCAATCAATAAATAATATATAAGCTTATATAAAAAAAAATGAGAAAAGTGTTTTGCATGTCGTCCTCCTAATTTTTTTGGAGGATCTGTCTAAAAACTTATTTTTTATTAATATTTTAAAAAAGTAATCATTTGAATTGAAAGTTCTATTCAAATATATTATACATATCAATTTTCAAATTATTCTAATAGGCCTACCTACTTGTTGATTATAGAAAATTTAACATCATTAAATATATATCAATAAATAGAGTTCCATTAATTAAAGAATTATAAATATTATATCAATATAAAAATTGATATGTATAATTATATAAATA